AGTGTTATTTATATATCTTTGAAAAATAGTTTTGGTAACATTTATCTGTATATAACGAACACCACTTTGCAAAACGTACTTAAATCTTGGCATGTTTTGATATATTTAGGTAATTACTTAAGCCTATTTGCTAAATACATAAAATATTTTTTAGTTTTTAATTTTTTTCCAGCAGGGTATGCCGTAAGCTGTACAATTGCATACAAGGTACTAGTTAAGTTTTCTTTTGTTGACAGCTGGCAAATAAAGAACAACGCTGTGGTACTTGCAGATATGTATGTATGTATGTACATATGTATGTACACAATGAAGTATACCTAGTGCATACACACATACATACATACATACATATGTATGAAACGTACGCACTTCGCTAGCAGTAACTTATCACAGCTTTAAAGCGACAGGATAACAACATAATAGATAAAAATTACCATCACGACTGCTAGCAATTTGTTGTTGTGCTGCATTCCGCAGGTACATATGTATGTATGTAATGTAAGAGAGGGGATACGAGTAGTGCAAACAAAGCACCACAAACCAGGTGATAATAACAATATGCGAAAAGGAACTTAAATTTTGCAATCATCTTAATAAAGTCTTACTTTGTAGTAAATGCCACAGGCAAATCTGAAGATTTATGAATGATGGCGCGTAAAAAGCTGAAAATGTTGCATACTTTATGGCGCATTAGCCGTTAAATCACCGGTTGGCTTAGTGATCGTGAATGCTAAATACTTTGAAAATGCATACTTGTGGCGTTTCTATGAAGAGATTTGCAAATGATATGAGCGGGAATTAGTGGCAGCTGTTCATAAATTGGCTAAAGAGGAGGTAAATTGTGCAGAGAGTGTTAAGACTGTGTTTTAGCTTAAAAAAAATTCCTAGATGTTCTGGTGAAATGGGGTTAATTTAATCTGTGTACATACGTACATACATACATATGTATATGGAATTTGAAGTGCCAAGGGAATTTACATAAGTGTGTGTCTGGATTTTTATCTAAAAAAATAAGAGTTTTACTATTGACCTGTGCCTCAGATTGCCAACTAATTTCTGCCAACATATTTTCATAACTGTAATTTATGAAGAATCTGCACTTTGCTTTTTTTTAATCTAATTTCCATTATACCGTTATTCGTTGCATTAGAATTGAATTCACAACCTTCCAACCTGCAGCCAAAATGCCACGCATACCTTCAACGTCCAAATTGAATATCATTAACTGTGTCGACTAAAATTCGATTTTAGTACATATCGCACGCGATCTTCAAAAGTGACACAACTCAAAATTTCGCATTTTTGCAATTATGCACCAAAAATGTACACAGAGCTTTTATTTACCTTTCGGCAAAAGCTGGACAAAATTTTTGTAATAATTTGCTGAAAAAACCTAAGGTAAAGTCTTCCTTATTCACATGATTAGCAATAAGCAATAAGAAATAGTTTTTCGCATTTTCAGCCGAACGGGTAATTTTGAGTTGTGTCTCTTTTGAAGACGATGTGCTAGACGATATCTAGTGTGCATGTTACATTATTACACACCTATGCATGTAATTCTCTGCGTGTTTTAATTGCCCAAAAAAGGCTTAGAATGCATAACGCCAGAAATAATTTTGTTAGATAGCTTGTAGGCATTTGTCACGTTTCGAATGGAATGCCATATGCGCCGTGTATTGCCATATGTACATATATGCACTAATGCTCACGTCCGATTATGATAATTTGATGTACATTTGTTTGTATGTGGGAGTAGCTTGTAAAAACACTTGCGTAAATCCCTTCATTTTGGATGGCTTGTGGTTTAGGACAGCTTACACATTTTACACTGCAACCGCATTCTGATTCCGCTGATTTCCGGTTTGCTAGCTCCGAATGCTACTCTACACCAAAGGTCATATTTGGACTAGGGTTTTAATGTGAATCGATGTTGAGATCCGTTTTCACTTAAGGCTATACCTGGGCAGTGGGATTCTAGAAATCTTCGCGCTAAAAATCTCTAAAAGAATAAAATTTTGACCGAAAAATATGCAATGCCAAAGGCGAAGAGATTCAATATAAAATCGTAGGCACTATGGATAAGCTATGTTGTGGAATACGTCGGGTTGATGCTAATGCCCAGAATAAAATCAGGGGCAGCAGTATATTCTGTCAAGTGGGCTGAGTGTCATGTATGTGGACACTAAGCCAACATTTGTTACGCCCAGAAGACAGGAGGAAGTGATTGATCTTATCCTTTTTGAACTCTCGGTTAGGGTGGTCCGTCCTAAACTTGGCGAGGGCTCTATTTACTCTGCGCCAATGCGAAACTTGAAAAAAAAACGGACTGGATGTGTTTTAGGGCACAGCTTGGGAACCATACCAAGAGGCCAACTAGGATAGGAGCCAGACAAGCCATTGATGAGACGGTGGTTAATTTAACCGCTGCCCTACGTTTCAGTTTGGATAAGGCTTGTCCGTCTCGTCCACCGACTAGTCGTAGGCCTCTTCCCTGGTGGAGCAAAGAGCTTCATAAGTTGGTGACAACTTCTAAACTGGGCCCCAAAAGCTAATTTTTAAATAGGCTCGGAACGCTTTCGCTGCACGCAAAGCAAGTATAAGAGGCTAATTCGTTCTGCAAAGAGGGCCTCTTTTAAAGAATACTGCAGCCGCATTGAAACCTTGGGTCAAGCGGCTAGGCGAGTGAAAGTTCTTAAGAAGGGCCTAACCACAAAGCTGGGTTCAATCAAGAGGCCTAATGGCTCTTTAATGGAGAGTAGGATTTAGTCTCTCTTTCTTCTTCTAGAGACTAACTTCGCCGGAAATCAGCTGTGTCAAGGTACAACTGGTTTGTTGCCAGGACTTGTTGAATATCTTGACAGTTTCAAATCGCCGGGCCGGATGGCATCCTACCTACTGTACTTAAAGATGGCGTTAAGATTTTGTTGGTGACTTTAAAAAAGATTTTCACAGCATCGCTTGAGACGGTGAAACACTTTTTGTGCTTCTGCCCGCCTTTGCAAGAATTAGGTATGTATTAAACATTTGGCCGCGATGTATTGGGAGACGAACATCTGAGCTCTTTCACACCCAACAATCTGACAGATTTAAAACGGATTAAAAGGGACATGAGAACAATACAATGGACGGCAATGTAGTCAAACCTTCTCTAGGCGATGATGGGCCGGGTTGGTCGGGCTGCTCTACAAGTAGGTTCTGTCGACGAGCTTTATATGACTTTATGCCAAGATTTCCAGGAAGACACTGGTATGCCCGCATGGTGAGAGAAGTTGATGCTGCTTACATCCAGTGCATTAAGTGAGCTTTGAGAAAATATTTCTTGTCTATGGCCGTTTTGCAGGTGTAAAGGGCAATAACTCACGTACTCCCAAATATAAAAATAAATACAAAGTCGAAAAAGAAACAATGTAGCTCTCAGAAAGATGGGAATTAAAAAAATATGAAATCGTGAAATAGACTACCATGGGAAAATACATAAAAGATATGAAATGGAACCAAAATGTTAAGTCGGAAAATATATAACTTTAGATATGTATGCAAAAAAATAAAAATTTTTCAATTTATAAACGTTTTGTAAAGCTAATTCATTTTTTATGAATAAGTCTCCTAGTCTATAGTTACGGAACAATATTCGAAATATGTACTTGAAATTTTTTTCCATAAACTATGTGAAACTGTTTAAAATAAAATTTTTAAATTAATAGCTCTTGAAATAAAAAAAAACTTAAAAGCCTTAATTTGTGAACTTAAAAATAAGTTTCATAAAAGTAGTGATGTTTTTATAAAAAAAAAAAATATGTTAAATATTTTCAAGCACGTTTTTCACAATTTTGAAGTAACTAAAAAAAACTGGAAATTGAAAAATATTTTACATAAAAATATTCAAAGTTTAGAAAAAGTTTAGCTATTTTCGAGTATATAAACTTAACTTGGAATAGAACTTAATTTTGTAATAGAAAAATATATATTAAATTAATATACAAAATAATTAATTTTTTCTTTTAACCTAGGGAAATAAGGGTTTAAAAGTATTTTTTTCGTATTTAATGCTTTCAAATTATAAAAAACTTTTACACAGACATATTTTCAGTGCTTTACAAAATGACTAACTTTATCGAAATAAAGCGAGTCAAATTTATTTTAACTTTTATTTATGTAAACTATCAAAAGTATTTGCCCAGAGAATTTTTCACAACATATGCAATAATTTTTAACTAATTCTTTTCGCTAGTTTTTTATAAAAATATGGTTAATACTTAAAAAAAAACACATAAAAATACTAATTTATAAACTTTGTGCAAAACTCAGGAAAATTCAATAAATTTCCATGCAAACTTTAAATTTTTTAATGTGATTTTTTTGAGAATACATTAGCCGGGCTACAAAACTGCATCAACGGGCTACAAAACTGTATAGTCAAAAAATTAAAAAAATATCTGATCAAAGAGTGGAAAATTCGCATGAACATTTATTGAATTTTCTAGAGTTTTGCGCAAAGTTTAGAAATTGGATTTCTATGTTTTTTGCTGTATAACTAACCATATTTTAATAAAAAACTTGCGGGAAAAAATTTTAATAAAAATTTCTGCATAAAAAAATTGTTGTCTCTGGGCAAATACTTTTGGCAGCTTGTATATAGCACTGATACTTAAAAAAAAGTCGGATATATGCAAAATAATAAAAAAAATTTTCAACTAACATGCGAAGTTTTAATGCTGCCAGATTTGAATTTTTTTGACTTTTTGTATTTTTTCAGAAAACATACATACATTTTTTTATTTAGTTAAAATTTTTTCTCTCTCTTTAATACCGATGTATGTAGATATATGTATATGTAGGTATGTATGTACAAGTTTTCGAAAACTTCATATGTTCATAAGTCAAAACCTACGCGAACTTTTTGTACCACAATGTCCCTTTAAAAACACTTTCACTCAACACTTTTATCGGCTTACTTCCCCAATAAAGCAAAGAGAAAAAATATTTTATCCTCTACGCACCTGTTGATTTTGTTTGTTGTTGTGAATTTCACTAACAAAATTTCAAAATTAACTGTCACTTGTTGCTGGCTCCGTCAACGAGTCAATTGGATGCTGTTTGTATTTATTAGATATTGCAACTGTGTCGTAGCAGCACACTTTGTTTGAATGATGTCGACTGCAACAGGATGCGCGCTTTTATATGCAACGATTGCGAGTTTGGATACTGGAAGAAAATACACAGCATTCCCATTGGCTGACATTTCCAGCGGCGATTTTGATTATTTGCCATAGAACAGTGAAGTGGGTAGTTGCTCATACGCCCCCGGTACGTGGCTTTCTATATGTACACGTGTGTATGTGTTTACGTACATATGTATGTAAGCAGTATGTAACAACAATGCAGGAACTTTACACGCAACAGCATAAATGTGTTTGTAAATGTTCTAAAATATTTATTGTTGAGTTTATCTTAGAAATTAAAGTTTAAGTATGTTGTATTGAGTATTCACTGTTCACTTTTGTCTGCTTACTTGTACATTAAGGACACACATTGTACGGGGGTATTCATATTGGTATTGGCATTGCTATTTGTATGTTGGTTTATGTATCTATAGTATTCACCGCTTTTCGTGATCATAATCAACTTATTATTTTATAAGCTTTTATATACATTTTTATGTTTCTAATTATCTGTTAAGCAAAAAACTCCCTGCAGGATAATAGTCGTAAATATAGTATGTAGTACGCAAAAATGTATTACATACATACGTGTACCTTCGATACTTAGTTACAGTACTTAAGTTATGCAAGCGCGCATATGTAGGTAACTATGTATTTTGTATGCTCATAAAGCAATGTGGGGTAAAATATGATAAGCTATAAATTTTTTAATTACAGTTTTTTAATTGTTTTGACACAACAGTCAGACAGGTATAAAAAATATGTTCGTATGTACATACATATATACATACCCAACAAGCAAAATAAACTTAAATAAAGCTTTTTTTAAGTTTTCAATTATAAACATTAAGCTTACAAAACGTTGATTTTTTGTTTATAAAACGCTTGAAAGTAAGCGTAATATAATCGAAAAGGAACATTGGTTATAAGCGTAGAAATATAAACTTGTAATAAATGTTCAAAAGAAAGCTTTTTATAAGCGTAAAAGTGTAAACTTATAATAAAGGTTCAAAAAAAGTTTTATATAAGCGTATCAATATAAACTTACTAAAAATTTTCAAAAGAAAGCTTTTTATAAACATTTTTATAACCCTTTATTTAAAGATATTTCATTAAAACCTCATACATAGATTGCTTAACATCTAGAAACTAAACGAAATGCGAATTTTCCGCGGACTCATCTACAGTCGCGAAAATATAAATAGGGAATAGACATTTTAGCATACAAATTCACAATAACACATACAAATTAAGCATAAAAAAGTTAATTATTACATCTTGTTGCGTGCTTTCAATTACTTGCGGTTATTGGCAAATTGGAAAAGGGACATCGATGCAGCTTTATATTGCGCTTTATCGCCGCCATTCTCATTGATGAACTTTTGTGAAAAAAATTTAATACATTTTTAATTGAATGTTAAACTAAGAAAGGATAAGGGGAACTCATCATTTGAAGACTCGAATGCTCCACCGATTAGCGCAGCGGGTCCTGGATTGGATTTTCTTGTTTTACCGCATTGGTTTTATTTAATTTTTTCTTTTAATAATATATTTAAAAAAACGTAAACACGTCACTTACGATTGAAAAAATTTTATATTTACTACTTCATGTCGTTGGCATTTACATTTCATTTATAAGTTTAAGTTATTTATAAACATTCGCTCTCAAAACTTATTAAAGGTTTGTTTGAAAAAACTTTTAATAAGCTTAATATTAAAAATGCTTATTTAACGCTTATTATAGCAAACTTAATTTAAGTTATTTTTAAAAACGTTTACTGAAATGCTTGTTGGGTAGTTTTTGGCGTCTATTGATACTTTTTATATTAACACAACAAAGTTTTACAGCCTACTATTGCACTAAATAATAAAATTATAGTTTAAAAAACTAAAACCTCCCTATTATAATTGCCATTCGTACTGTCATCAGGTATGTAACCTGATAATAGAAATCGCTGCATCTTTTAGGCGCATCAATATTACATAGTTACATCCCGAGCTAATAAAAGGAAGGTAAAATAGGACACATCAAACGCTTTTTATCAGATATGTGTATAAAGTTGACAATATCCAGTTGGCAATCCGATTAGTGATATTAAAACATGTCATAATAGCATCTCCGGAGAAACGACTACTCGGTTCATGAAGGCAGTGAGTAAACTTTTTTTCAAGAATTCGAAAATTGAAAGTACAACAAAACTCAGTTACTTACAAAACTGGTTACTTGGTTCTATTCTATCACAGGAGATTTTAATCTCTGAATTTATTTATAACTAGTGAATCCGTTTGGCGTTCAATCGCAAATATCAACCTTTTAAACAGGTGGCAACTCTCTTCAAAACGACAAAAAATTTCATAAAAGTTTCTTATGGAAGAGAAGATTGGATTTTCATCAAATTCCGAAGCACCTTGTACAGCTACAAAGTTCTAAATTTTAAAAATAAAACCTTATCTACAGCAGAGATGCTAGATCGAAAAAAGTCGATTCGAAATAAAAACAATTGATGCAGGAAGAAATCGTCGCAAAATAAATCGGTTTGCCTAGATGGATTCAAATATTGAAAAGAAAAACCTCTTACCAAATTTTTATAAAGAAACAAAACACTGCAATTTGACCAACATTGAAATTACATACATTTATTGTAATGTTTTAAACATACATATGTACATACATTGGTCGTAACTAGACTGCGGATGTTTATGCAGAAAACGAAGCCTAAAAACAACTATAAGCGAAATGTATACAAATTTATTTAGTTTTCTTGTAGTTGAGTAGTACATATTTTTAGGCTTCGTTTTTTTTTGCATAAAAATCCACAGTCTAGTCATAACGGTTTCAATATCAAGCTTTATCCAAAGCTAAGAGGAAGCCAAAAATATCTAAATACTTCCAAAAAAAAAAATTGAAAATGTAAGAAAATATATGAAGGCAACGATATGAGTATTTAACAGAAACTTCATAAATTTTTTTTAGTTAGACATACATTTTTCAAACAATAGTTACGTATAGGATACCCTGTAGACAACGAATACCCGTACGCATTTGTTAAAAATACGGAAACTCGCAAATTTTCACTTTTTTTTTTACCACATCTATATCAATGGTCCTGTGGATTATATACATATAGACTTTACATCTTGACTGAGTACATACTAGTTTTAGTGCCATCAGTAAAGACTCGACATAATGTGTAAGGCCCGTCCTAATATTGGCCAGCGTTCAGACCATACGCTTTACCAAATACCTTGAATTTTTTTGGCATTACTCTTAGTTGCTTTTCTTTAGATGAATTTTCGATTTTCACTTTAACCTCAAAAAAAAAAAAACTTCAACTATGTAGGTACCATATGTTTCTTAGCATTCCGAGTATGGCGTCATCAATGTAACGCCTTGGCGATGTGTAAATATATTTAAATCTCTGCTTAAGGACATTTAAAATAAAATGCGTAATAAAGCCACTAAGACAGCAAGGCAAAAAATACCCACACACTTTAATATATGTATGTGCATGCAAACAAAATAGTGGCTCCTGAAGAAGGCCTTGAACTAAAATATTGTAGATTTGTCGATATATATATATGTGTGTACATTAATCTGTTCTTCAAGTATTGAAATGCAAAGATCATAGAAATGCGAATCAAAGGAGAAACTTAAGCAAGAAAGGTGAGTTGTGAAATTTCGCGTAATCTCTGCTTTATGACTTTGGGATTTACATTGAGACAATGCAATTAATTTTGCAAAGAGCGTGTTTGGAATGCGAGTAGCTTGCTATGCCGAGGCAAACACATGAATAATGGTCGAAGTGATAGTGAAATCGCAGAAGCCATGTACCACTCGCTTGTATGAGCTCAAGAGCAGAGTATTGTGCAGCAGAGTGGGATGGTCACTTTTTCGCATTGGTGAGTGTGGGAGTGGAGAAAATGGCGTTAATACATTTAAACATCGCCAACTCCAACTCGGCCTGCGCCTTCTTGGGTACTACATACAAATCTCCGCCATTTATTCAATCAACGTAATCAAATTGTTTAATGTCGGTTATGTGTGGTGGTGGACAGCTTTTCGTCTATTTACACTCATAAGTACTTATGTATGTATATGTAACTAAATTATACTTCGCTAATGTATACTTTTAATAACGTACAATATGTGTTAATAAACATACTACATATGCACATACATACATACAAATGTATGTACTTGCGCTGGCTGCTCGCAGAAAGCAGACATACCAAAAGTTCAATTTTTTTTCTTTATAATGAATTTTCCTTTGTCGCCTATCGTCGTCATCACTCTCGCTGCATACACAACAACCAACATACAAGTGGTTAAACAGTTTCATTGTGTATTGAAGTAAGACCATACACTTATTGCTGTTTGTACATATGTATATAGTTATTTATGCACATAAATATGTAGTAGGCGTTCGCCTGTCCATCATTCAAAAACTATTTAAATCTGCATAAAATTTGCATAAACAAATTGCAATTTTCGCCTACTACTACAACAAATGTAACAAGTCAATAACTAACGGTTTTACTAAACGCCAGTCATATGTTTGTGTGCCTGCGTTTAGCCGACATGTGGCACAAATTGGCGGCGTCGTACATACTTACTACTACTGTCTACTTTCTCAATTCCGCCACTTGTGTGGTTATTCTAGTTCCACAATCGCAAAAATGTGCAAAAATACTTGAATATAGTACTCGTATAAGCATTTATTCTGAATTTAGGAGTTCAAACATACTTAGTTGTGTGTGATATGCGAATGCTAGTGTGTTTTTAGGCTGTAGCGTTTCAGAGACGTATACATATATATGTACATATGAGCAAAACTCACGAGTTGTTACAATTTTCGAAAAAAAACGTGTTTTCTATCGCGAAATTGTATTTAAAAAAGTCGAAATAACAACTCGTTCTCATATACCTGTAGTCGTGTATGTAACGCATACGCCCCGTAGCACCAT